TAGCTGAACACAGAAAAATGAAAGGTCTGACCCTGTGAACTAGCTTTAAGGTCATGAACAGGATCTTACAAAATCAACATAAATTCATTACTGGAAGAAGCTAGAATAAAGTCTTAAATACAGAGCAAGTGTGATGAGTCAGATCTGGTCAAGTGGCGTATATATGCAAGATTCTGAATAAAAATAATCAAATTAACATGCAGTGAAGAGAGAATTTCCATAATGAAGCCTGTAATTTCCTGGAGAGACTTCTCTAGATTGCTAAGTATGGTTTGGACAAGTCATGAGACAAAAGAACTCCTTTTTTTTGGGAGATGGACAGACAGTTTGCAGCGCAGACATATTATTTTGTTGTATTACGTGCTTTGGTGTCATTACTGAAGAACTCTCATACTCTGTAGAACCCTCTTAAGACCTTGTCCTCTGTCTTAAATAAAGGCTATAGAATGTTGTAAATGCAGTAATAAATATTGGGGTTTTTTTTCAGAAGTAAATGGACACTGAGTGTAGGTGTAGATATCTTCCATTTTTTGCACTACTTTTTGAAAGACGGTATTTCTCAGAATAGTGTGAGAAGGCTTGGAACACTGATTTATTCCTGTTGTAAGATCATTCTGCAAATGACTCCAAATTGCAGTAATTTAGAAATTTTGAGGTTCTGTCTATATTTGGATTTGTACATTCGGCAAGCTTTTAATGCAAATATATGAATCTTTGGCAATTACTTTAATTCATGAATAGAAATTTAATTGAACTAAATACATGAATGTACCTTACAGTGCTCAGGCTTTGTGAGACATTTCTGCTAAATCGGCTTATGAATTTCCTTTTGATGAGCTTAATTGTTGACAGATTTTTCAAAAGCCAACAACAGCTTGCTTTGCTAGCTAGTATTCACATGAACTGGATAGTCTTGTGAAGTCCCTTATGCAATTTGCATAATATTATTCTACTGTAAGATGAAATGAAATCCTTTGTAGTGAACCTAACAATGTTAGACATTGTAAAGACATCAATCCAAATAAAATTTAAAAACCAGAAAAATCACCCTCCCAGCTTGTCCTTCAACATCTCAGAATATGCAAAGCTAGAAAAAATAGACTTTTTTTTGCCTCTTTTTTTTTCCCCCAGAGGACTATTTATAAAAAAGGTCCTAAATAATGAGATGTGATCTGTTAATGAGGGTATTATGAAGATACTTTGTTATTTTTTTCAGCAAAGCTGTAACTAGGTTTTTCATCCGAGATCCCTCAAGTCAGAATGCATTACATATGCAAATATATTCATTAAATAGGTTATATTCATTCATACTTGATTCATTAAATCAACAAAACAAATTAGCCATTTTGTCCATCCATGTGAAACATAAATTCTAGAACTTATCTACCCAGAAATTTTTGTGGTTGGTGGTAGTATTTTAGAATTTCTATCTTTGAATTCTATTGTCTGGAAGTAAGAGGAGAATGAAATGTAAACTAAGCAGTAGGATCTGTAATCCATAATGACGGCTGTGGATGTCTGAGTGAAGTGAAGCATATAGAAGCCTTGAAAACAACTGACCCTGTTTTCCTCCAAACATTTCAGAAGAATTCAGGTCCGTTAATAATGCCTTAAAAGTAATAAAGGCTGGGATCTGTGGATTCTAGCTAAATGAGGTCACATCCTACAGTCCTTACTTTGTCTTACTGGAGTAAATTTCCCATTTACTCAGGATGAGATGAGGACTAAGCACTGAGTAAGGGTGGCAGGATGGGAAATGGTTTGTCACCTCTAAGTCTGCGTTTGCAAACTGCTGGAACCACAAATGAGCTCAGTGTTTAGCAAGATGGTGGACGCCAGCATGAAGCTTGGAAGTGCCAATTTTAATTAAAAACTGCATCTTCAAATCAAGTTCCTAGTTAACAACGGGTGGGAAATTCTTCCCACCATGCAAGCTTTCTGAATGCTGTATTGACTGGCAAGATGGGTGCAGCTTCCTCTTCCACAAAAGTCCTCCTACCATCATCTTCCCCTTCACCTCCCCCTACCAGAAGAAAAAGACTACATTGTTTGTGGAATGTCTCCTTGTTCATATCCTGCATCTAGGCCAGAATAGATGGATTTTATTTTGTCCTCCCCATCCCCCTTCCTTCATTGTTAACAATGGAGTGAACACATGAGATTAACATGGCTCTTGACATGGCTCAGTTGTTTGCCATTTGGAAAGTACTGATTCTTCAGTTGTATAATTGTTAAAATAAAAAAGTATAAAAAGACTCAGTCGTTTTCTGTTTATTCCAAAGACAGGGAGAACAGAATAGTAGGGGAGAGATGGGGGAAGCCAACAACAAAAAACAAATTAGTTTAAGAACCAGCATGTTCCCCTTACTTTAAGGAACACAGTAAACATTTCAAAAGTGCATGCCAGCTCATTATCTAACTCAAGTCTTCATTGACTTCATGAAAAACAGCAGCAGTTAAGCAATGTTTGCCAAAAGCAAATTTGGGTACATGCATTGCTAAAAAAATGTGACATCCGCTCTGTACAGGTTCCTTAATCTGCCACACAGGGGCAAATCAACATTTCATCGTTATCGTTTCTCTCTGTTGTTTAGTGCTTTCATGATTGCTCTTCTAGTCTGTTTTGATCATTGTTTATCCAAAACTGTGGTATGACGTATGATTTGAATTCTTAGCCAGAAATGAACCTCTGCAAGTGTTTAAAGATGTAGAGACAATTTCAGTAATATAATCTTGAATGTAATATCTGTTTGTAAGTATCTTTCTCACAAAGTTTATTGTTTAAAAAAGTCTTAAATGGATGTGGGATATTTATGAATTCCTTTTTTAAGATTTAAGATTTAGTTTGTCATTAATTTCACGTATTTTTTAAAATGAATTTTCTTTTTTGGTTCAGGAATAGTACAGGTATCTTTCTTTTTCAGTCAATTTGGTGTGGCACTTGCAGTTTACAGTTACATTGTTGAAACTACTGTGACATAGCATTTGAATATACTCTATATTAAAATATTGCCATTTATTGTGGTAACCAATGATACAGCAAATTTCATTAGTTGTTCCTTATGGATGTTGCCCATTCTTTAGTAAACTAATACCTCTGTCTGTCCAAATATATAAATTTAAAAATATTTTGAATGCTATTGAACTTGGTTTCCTTTGAGAGTAACTCTTACTCAAGAAAAAGGCAAGCATATCTTGAACAATTGTTTTACTAAATAGCTTAAAGAAAAGTTCTGTTTGGAAACCATACAGGCTTCCCCCATAGCCCTCACACTGTCTAATGTGCACCTCTGTCTCCTGTGGGCATTGATTTCTCTCATCTTAAGTCTCTGCCTTTAAAATTATCTGGTCATTTTAATAAGTTTCATTTCTCTCTGGAATCCCCATACCCTTCTGCCATATGTTTAAAATTCAGAGTTGCTGTGCAGTTCTGATCATTATTTATTCTATTCCACATATAGTACATCATACTCTTACCTTTTATGAGCTTGAAAAAATGCTTGTTTACTCGTTCCTTGAATATATAGTTTCTGATTTTTTAGTTTTTATTTTTAAAACACAGAAATCCTTTGATTCAGAATTTCTTAATGAAATGAGGATTTCTGCAGAAAATAATGCCACTTTCTTATGTTTTTGAGACATTTATCTCATTTTCCCTTGAGGAAAGAGAAAACAGCTGGTGAAATTAGGATTTCAAAATGGAAAAAAAATAAACACCCATTTGACATTTTATCAAAAGCTGGAAAATGCTAGTGAAGTTTATCTTCACTAATTTTCCCCTTCTTCAAAAATTCCCATTGTTATTCTCGAATTTGTAAATCTTCATGAGAACCAGGTGACAGAATGCAGATCAGATAATTATTTTTTTTTTCTGCGGGGGAGATGTGTTTATTTTTTTTTTAGGTAGTTATGTCCAAACCAGAGTATATCAATATGTTCCAATATTTATTTCAGGCTTTTCTTTGTTGTTAAGCAAAGATTACTTCACTCCCATGGTGTGGTTACTTCAGTCAATGCAGTACAATCTGGAAAGGACATTGACATGGAAAATCAAAGTATCACACACTTTGAAAGGAGTTTTTAAACAACATTAGGAAGGACATCAGCATTGTCAGTTGAAACAACTGAACCTTAGCTATTAGTGTTGATCAGGGAAATGCCAGAGGAAGAGCATAAGGGGACCAATATATGCGTGTACCAAACATTTCAGCAACTTTTTCTTGACAGCAGCCAGCAGAAGGTGCTCATGGAGAAGCATAGGAAAAAGGGCAAGGACAGTGATTCTTCCAGCTTCTGACAGTCAGCAGTTTTGAGACTCCCTGTGCTGAAGTTGCATCTTAAGCATTGTTTTTGTGAACCACTGAGTTCAGAAGCAACAATAGGAACAATGGATCACTGTTCAGCATCAGTGGCAACTGCACTTAGAAATAAGTAACATTGCCACTTCAAAATGCTTGACACAGACAACAGAGACAGAAGAGCCAGGAAATTATGGTGGTGCTAAAGCCACACCCATGGCCAGGGGCAACATCTCACAGCTCCTCCAAGTTGTGAACTCCTTGGGAGCTGAGAATCCCCACCATGCAGAGAGGTAGGAGCCAAGCTTACCATTATATAATGCAGCAACTTCGGCCCATGTGGCATCTTAATGGGACATGATGTCTTATTCTTCAATGTAAGGGTTCCTGCCTGTGGGTTCCTGCTGAGATATTTGCTTGGTGAGAGTTGACTGACTTTGCCTCATACCAATACATGATGCCACCAGTCAGCTGATCTCTTGTGGTTGAGGCAGACTTCCACATTCTCTCAGAGTTACTGTCTCTTTCTGTAGTTCCTGCTTGGGCATCTGCCTCATGTAGGATGTAAGCAACCCCATGTTGTTTCCTCTGGCAGCTCTCTTTGGGGCCTGTCAGCAGGGCTCCCAAATAAGTAGCTCTGTGCAAGTCTTCCTGCACAATGCTTGTCCTAACATGTGATCACCTGTGTGTTTCTTTCCACAGCAAAACCTTTGGAAAATGTCACAGCCTGAAGAATATTGGGCATTTAAAATCTGGCTCCAAATTTCCTCATGAACCAATCTGCTGCTCTGCACCTGTAGAAGGGGACAGGTGGGTTGCTGCAAAGTAGTCTGCAAACCCCTCCTCAGTGAGCCCCACTGTTAGCCAGTCTCTTGACTCTGCATGAGGCAGCGACTCCTGCTGAGTTCCTGTGAGTATTTTGCGTGCAGCACTTCTCCTTGCAAAGTGGCAACACGCTGGGACACAAAATAGAAGGCCCTGTCCTGGTGTGAGCACTGCACAGAACGGGAGGGCACTTGTGATGGATAGGAACTGAGCTGTATTGGTGTTTCGGGTAGTTCCTGCTGGGTTTGGAGACAGCATGTGTGTGTTTGAAGTTTACTTGGGGATGAAGGGTAATATGCCAACACAGGCTTTTGAACAGTTCCTTGCTGCACAAATAGCCCCATTCATTGCAGCAGACGGCTCTGCATTTTCATCCCTTCCTTGTTTTACTTAATTTTGCTCCCACAAAAATGTTATTGAACTCTGCAGAAATTTTGCTTGGGTGAGGACTGTAGTAAATCATGAAAAAATGTCAGGAGCTGAGACCAGATAAGAATGAAAATTGTAGCAGTGTCCTCAGCATTAACAATTGAAACCGGTTTTTGCATGTCACCTGTCTCCCTTTTCCTCACATTGGATTGTTGTAAATGGCAGGCCTTGTTTCCTTTTGCAGTATGATTATTTTTACTGCATCCCTTATCTTTGTCTCTTGGAAAGAGCAAATAAAAACAAAGCTTTGCTTCACATTTTTGCTTGAAGATAAATTGGAACATTTTAACAGAGTAACTTTAAATGACTGTTTACTTTTGCAGTGATCAGGGCCAGTACTCAGGGCCAGTACTCAGGACTACAGCTGCATGGGTAAACTCCCATGCTCCTTTATAACCATTCAGGGGTCAATGTTTCTGAAAGTGTGAGAAGGATGGCATTGATGCAAATAAGTGGGTATGCTGCCCACCTTGCCTGTGAGAACTGCAAGACTGAAAATACGACTGATGTCGGTCAGTCCCACGGAAACAGCAGGGCACAATCTGTGAATTACACTGATGTACACAGTTATGTGAAGAGAGGTTTTTGTCCTTTTTTTTTGTTTGTTTTCATGGATAAACTTTTACTACCTGCTAAATTTAGACTCTTAGATTCATTTCTGTGAAGCCGGAGCTGAACCACACCCTTCAAATGTGAAAAGCTGTTGCATTAAATCATTGTAATACTCGGAGGGCTCAGTCAAATGAGGACAAGATTGCAGGCAGGTGCAATTTCCTTTTAGAAATAGATAGACAGTGCTTCTGCATTCTGTAATGTGTTGGTTTTAGTCTCTACAAAATACAATTTGCATTCTGTTATAACTAGTAACAAATCACACATCTGGAACAAAGAGGAATGTAGCTGAGCAGTATATTACATTTATCTGCAATCTGTTTCAGATCTCCTGGTTCCTTTCAATTTTAACTCTGCAACAAATGTACTCCCAGTCTTCATTTTTTTTCACTTGTTACAGTGTTTAACAAAGGTCATTGTGACCCAGAGGAAGCTTAAGAGGAAAGTGTTATAGTGGATCTTGGAAACGGATTTTAACTCTGATGACAGTGGGCATGAAGCCAAGCCCAGCTCTCCTGTGTGTATTTAATTTGCACTCTTTATTTTTCCTTATGCCGAGCTGGATTCAATCATGGAGCCAAATCCATGGATGAGGCAGATATCTTCAATAATTAGTACCTCTTTCTTCTCTGATGGCTTTTTTCAAAAGAATACTTTAGATTGTTTACTTTTTCTGTGGTTGAATTGTTGAATTAATAACAAAAATGTAGCCACTGTTGAAAAGAACAGTCTTCCAGTGAATGTCTAAAAATATTTAATTCTGTGCCTAGGAACCACCATTTTGTCAAATCTGGTGACAAACTTTTTTTTTAATGGGGCTTTACCTGCTCAGGTCACTAGATTCAACACCATAATGTTCTTGTTCTTCTATTTTATGATTTCATCTGTTTAGATTTTGCCTGCTGTAAGGCTATCTGATTAGACTGGTGCAAAAGAAATTATTTTTCATGGTTCAGAAATTCCACAGCTATCCTGATTTCCAAAATATTCAGATATAAATAGTTGCTCATATTGTTAAAATTTATTAAAAATTATTTCACAGACATTTGTGCTATGCTTCGTACTATCTTTTGCAACAATAGAGAACTGACCCATAAGGTAGGCATGTATGTATCTAGCCAGATTTATAGCTACTGGTGCTTCCGAGTACAAAATACTCAGAAGGTTCGTTTCTAAGAAATTAGAACTTTGGTGAATCACATAGTTTAGAAAAGGTTTTCCAAGTTTTTTTTAAAGGGCAGTGTCCATGTCTTGCATGTTTTTTTCAAGTGCGGAGTTTTTCCTGGCTCCATGAAACAGCTTGGTGCTGTGTTTATCAAGTTGTTTGTGCTTAGATTTTATTAATTTATGTATTACCATACTATGGCATTGATTATGATTTCTGTTTCCTCTGGGCAAGCCATAACCTGCAGTGCCTGAGAATTATGTGTTCCAAAACATGGCATACAATAACTATATTGTGTCCAGTGAAAAATGTTCATTTTTGAAATATAACCAATTTTCTGCCTTTTCTCCAACTGCAGTCAGAGCACTTTCTCTATTCTTCTGCATTGTTCCTGTAGAGAAGGAATGTTTGGGAGAGGGATTGGCACTCAGATATACTTAATACATTCAGTTTTTTTTCCTGTGCCCATGTGGTGTAAGTATTCTGCATTTCTATGTTCTTTTATATTTGCAAATATATATATAGGGGTTATTGATTTTTTCCATGAGTGCTATAAATAATACCTAAGGCTTTATATCTATGCAATCTCAAAAGACAAGATCTAAAAAGTCAAACCTGCAAGCTCAGAGAAGCTTAGCTGATAATAAGACAGATTTATTGCGGGTTTTTTTAATGAAGGTAGGAGTTACTGTTGAAAATAAAAGTCCTTCAGTGACTGTGTAGCTCAAAGTACTTAATTTTGTTCTAAATGTAAATATTCTTGTTTTACTTCGAAGTGCATGTACATCTTCCTGCATAGGAAATACACTTAGTGCTATTATTGACATTGCCTTGTAGTGATATTTCAAACTGAAATTGTAGAATTCCAGGTCTTTGTGATGATGATAATCTTCCTACTCATGCAGTTAGTTCTGATAATTATTGTCGATGGAATATCATTCAGTCAATGGAAGACCAAAATCCTTTTAAAAACACATTAATCACATTAAAATTTTTTTACCGATGCTGTTCATAACAGTTACAGGACATATGTATCAAATTACACTATATCAGTAATATTTTTTTCAGTATGGTTCCATTTCCTACCTCCCTCCTACCATTTTGACTTGTTTTGGGCTAAAAAAACAACTGTTGCTTACAATCAAAGTAAGAAAATGCAGTATTCATAGTTTCAGTATGGCATGAGTAATGAACAGTACATTTCCTGTTGTTCTGTGATTAGTTTGTAATAAAGTATATTACAGATGTAGCTCTAACATTGTCTCCAGTTAAAGAAAAAAAACTCTATCAAGCCCTTTATTTGCCAGAATCACACTGAGTAAAAGTTTAACTATTGTGTCAAGGCTATCTTCTCAACAACACAACAGGCAAACTGGAGCGAATTAGAGAACAAAGTACAAATGTGTTTGCAACCACCATTTCCATAAGATAATTCACATTTCACTATGTACTTATGGAATACCATTGTGACACTTGGTTGATGTACACATGCTGAGTAGATAAGTAGGTTGTAGCACACTTCCCTCGTGGACTCATGGCCCCTTCCTCACATGTTACCAAATCCATACCCATCTAATTTCTGCCTGTTTTAAGACTAATAATCCCTGTTTTCAAACAGTGCATACAACTAAAAATGTTAGAATTCCACTTACCTGTGAGTGAACTGCCTAGTGTGTTGGCATTTTGACCATGGTAGTCAAGCTGGCCATCTCACAGAAGCCACCTCTGGTAAGTTGGCAAAGTTGCTTTGTAGTGAGAGACTTCAGAGACAAATCCAGACCCTGTTAAAGTCAATGATGGTTTTGCTGTTGACTCTGATGGCTTCAGAATTTGTAAGAACTACTTCAGTATGTCTTAAGATCTGTTTTCTCAGAGCAGGATTTGCAAACGGGTTTCTTCTTCAGCAGCACTCTGGCCCTTTGGACTTTGGGATCAGGGAGTTCATAAGGGGCCAAGAGAAGCTCATTGAAAACTCTCTGGACCATAGAAAGGGACAGTCATTTCTGAAAATACCAATAAGAAGATGAATCATGTTGTCTTGTGTATCTTATAATTTCTGATTAAGTATTTAAGAATTTATCCCTAAATATGTCAATTCTTTTAACTAAGTGACATGTCACCACATTGGTTTAGGAGTAGTACAGTCACATTTTATTATCTTGCATGATTCCATGGAACAAAACCCTTTAAAATCTTGTAGGATGATCTAAATACCACTTTTTTATTTGCTAGTATTATTTTAAATGCCAGAACAATCACAAAAGAATTTTAATCTTATTAAGGAAATATATTTTTAAAAAGACTAATACTTTGCTTCTGCTTGTTAAAACAGTATTAAAACAAGGGAAATGTGTTTGTAGTTAACTCCCAGAGGACTTGGTGTCAGAAGAAATGTATTGTCCTTTTTAGGAAGGTGGCCTCTACCAGATGTAGGCTCAGAAATGGCAATTGCTATTCACGTAAATGACTAGCAGGTTTATCCTGCCTTTCTCTGGGGCCATCTTGAATTTTGGCAAAAGGCAAAGAGCAGGCCCATAAGAAAATAGTAGTTCTCATGGGAACAGTAAAAATATGTTGGTATTGTTTAATTCTTTCATAACATGCTAAATTAATTTATTTGTTTTTTGAGTCTTTTAAAGTATAATGCCACCAGGGAATGTGTTTTTCATATACCAGTCTTAAAAATATATTAAAGTTTTAGGGACACCAGTCAATGAGTAAACACCATTGGTTATCCACATTGGGTGACTGGGAGAGAGAAGGCTTGATTTTTTGCTGCTTTACGTATTGTATAGTAATTGGCACCAGTGCAAAGTGATCTTATCTGTACATATTGCAATCTTTTTACACAGAAGTAGACAACTGCAGAATATGCAGGA